GTTCAAACATTTAAACTTTACACTTGAAGTAATTAGAATGTCTCTGGGAATGGTATATTCAATATAGCATGTCCCAGAATGACTGTAATAAGTCAGGAGGTATTTATTTTATTATTTTTGGTGGGGTTTGAATGTTAGATTCTTACTTCAAAGCAAACATTCGTTAAATATCGTCAAATATCGTTTAGAACGAAAGAAAAGACAAATTTTACATTTAATTCTCATTAATATATAATGGCCAGAGATAATTCTTACAACAGTATAGCCATTTTAGTTGAATAAGAAGAATTGTGGATTTTCTTCACAAATATAATGGCTAGAGATAATTCTTATAACATTTTAGTTGTATTAGAAAGGTGGATTTTTCTTTCGTCCAGAGAAAGAGGAAAATATTTTTGACGTTATTTTCAAAAGTTTTTTTTTCAGAACATCTACAATGTCATCTCAACGATCGTCAGTGCGTCCTCCAAAGCCTAAAATGCCATGGGGAACAATTCTTAAGCCAGAATTTGGCATGGGACACCAGAAAATGACAGACTATGAAATAGAACAAACTGTTGACAGACTTTATAAAATAAAAGAATACAAGGAAAGATACTATGAACGAACAGGAAAAAAGATGTCTGATGATGAAATATCAGAAATGGTTTGTATAAAGCACTTGTTAAAATCCATAGTATATATGTCTTTCTAATGACCAAGTGACACTACAAGCTCCTTATCAGTCCAGTTAGTCCACTCTTTATTCCCCATATGTATATATATATATATATCTTGGGCAAAATCAGTTAGTTTTGGTTCTTTTAGATTGCTGAATGAAATATTTTCATAATGAGGCGCAGATTTTGTAAAAAAATATTGTATTTAAGGATATCCTGAAATATTTCAGGACCTCCATAATACGATTCAGTATATCCATTATTCATTGAGGACCAACCAACATATTTCAGGACCTCCACCATTCGATATCAGGATATGATTATCTTCAAATCAACTTCATAATATCCTAAAATCGATATCAGGCTATCCTTAAATCGAATTATGGAGGTCCTGAAATATTTCAGGATCTCCATAAATACCATGATTTTTACTAAATCCGCGCCTCAAAGTTTCAAGCAACTTTTTTTGTTTGTACAGCGGACCCTATGAAACTTTATCTATTTTCATGGTTCATCTAGTTTTAGCGTTTTGAACATAGGTATCTGGTATGATTATTGACATGTTTATAATTATTAGTCCTTCAATAATATTCATACGCACGAAATACATTATAACGAGTCTATGCATTGTTAATTGTTTCTTTCGGACTTTTTGTAATTTGAATACTGTACGTTAGTATGTTATAAATTAAATATGAGAATTTGGGTCAAATCGGGGGACATGAATTTGACAGCGGTGTAAAATAGTATTTTTTTTCAGGACTTCTATACGGAACAAATAATTAGTTCAGAAATAAGCCTTCCGTGAACATTGATTGATTGATATAATTGTTCTATGCTTAACACACAAGGTCAAATATTTCATGCATATTCTGGACGAGAGCAATAAATCCTTGAGTTAGGATCTATAAAGTTGAGGCAAATGGTACAGCAGGTCTCTGAGAAAATTTGGTCAAAGTGGGGTGAACTGAATAGTGAATTCATACACCACCAGAAAAGAGGATACGTTGATTCCCATGGAAAGAAACAATTGCATGTGGTTGGCTACGGACCATTCTCAGAGTTGTTTATATGGTTTTAAAACAAGCAGAGGGCATTGCACTCTCCCTACACGAGAGATCAGGTATACTGAGTGTACCAACTAAGACTGGACATGGCTGCGAATTTATTCATCTTGCAAAACTCGAAAATCGATTACTACCGCACAGGAGAATTATGGAGACCGTATTTCGTTGTCCCAGTCAACACTTGAGTTCATAAAAAAAATCCAAAGTAGTTATAAATGTTCATATCTTTATGAACATCAGGTAAAAATATTATTTATTGCAAAAACCTCTTCTCTAATAAATCATTGAGTTCTCATCTTTCATGTGAGTTGTAATTTTAGAACAACAAGGATTTATAACAAAGTAACTTACAAATCTGTTCTTATCTTTTTCAGCTAGGAAGAATGACGAAAGTAAACAAAGAGAAAATAGTTGACAGTGACCGACGTGTTCATTCATCAATATATAAAGATATGGGAATTGTTTCCTCATATGCTTGGAAAGGATATAATTGATAACTGCCAGATTTAGTATTCAACAATCGTGATCTTCCCATATAATTATCTTAAAATGATTGAAATTCATCAACTGAAAAGACAGAAAAAAAAGATTCAATGCAAAGGACATTATATCAGTGAAACATTTTTATTTATTTTGATCAATATATGATTGATAAAATAAATAATTCCAAATGTACACATTAAAATTAAAAGTAATCACAGAATCTAATAAAAATGTTACATCAGCTTTTATCAATATTTGCTGATTTTCTTTTCTATTAAAAACACACTGAATAATATTTATTTTCTCCATAGATGGCAAGGTGTGAAATTGGAAGTAAAGTGCTTAATTACAAAAATATCAACTTTTTGCTGGTTGATATTCAGGAATAGTTTTAAAATATATCATGTTAGAACATTGCACAAGTGTTTGGTACAGCAACAAGTGATGGTGACACACTTATTACTTGGGGTGGTATTTATTATGAAGTTATCAGACATGATGTTTTGTGGTTACTGGTCCTTTTTTTTATTTCAACAATATTCTTCTAAGTATTTTCAAATACCATTAATGTGATTTAAAAAAAGTTTCCTTGGAATTATTACCCACATTTATAATGCATTCTATTAAATGATCGATTTCAGACAACAGCATGATATAAACAATATAGCACATTGGTACCATGGTATTATTAGCATGACCAGGCCCTAAGGAGAACAAAGAAGAAAAGAGACAACCTTATAAAATATCTACTCATCTTCTGAAAGAAGAGCTCAAAACAGAAAAAAAACTCATTTTGTTTTAGTCTTTAGGATCATAAAAGTGCAAAAATATGTCAATTGGTACAAAAAAATGACATAATTATGCATCTTCTTATTTTACAACTATAATAAACATAAACAAAATATTACAGTAACAAAAAATTCAGAGGCAGATTTAGGTGGGGGTTGGTGAGCAGCCCCCCTAATGGAGCTACGTAGACCTTTTACAAGTCCCACCCCTAATGTTGCCTTGTTGGTGGGCCACCCCTTCTTCAAAATCCTGGATCCACATCTGAAATTGTCTGTTATACACCCAGCACTATTTAATAAGTAAGTCACTTGAAACACAGTGTAATAAAACTTAGGGCAGGATACATATAAAAATCGATGAGAAAATTTGAGCTGGGCTTTTGGAGCCAGACGAGCTGAAAGGAGTATACTATGCATAAAGTCTGGGAGAGCATGATTTATTCATTAGTTGTAATTGGCTTTGAACTATCTTTCAGAAACTGCGAGTACTCTTATTTTGGTGCTTTGTGTCTATTGTTTTTATGTTAGTTGTCTTCGTACCAATCTTTTGAGTAAAGCCAATTGCTACAGATTTTTACAGTTTGTTCTTATGTGTGCTGTTACACCACTGTCCCAGGTTAGGGGGAGGGTTGAGTGCTCACAAACATGTTTAACCCCTCCACATTCTTTATGTGCCTGTCCCAAGTCAGGAGCCTGTAGTTCAGTGGTTTGTCTTATTTGTTTGGTTTTAAATTAGGCCATTAGTTTTCTTGTCTAATAGTCTCACATTTTTCATGTCAGAGCCTTTTATAGCCAACCATACGGTATGGGTTTTTCTCATTGTTAAAGGCCCTACAATTGCTTACATCCACTTCATTTGAACTCTGTTGAATAGTTGTCTCATTGGCTATCATACCACATCTCCTTATTTTCATATATAATTTTGTCATGAAGAAATTTACTAATCCCAGTTACTATAACATTATAAAAGAAGTGATATATGGTGGATGATCTTGAGACAATCAAATGAAATTTTATTGCTGTTCTTCATCTAGACAGCTGTTGATGGGTCTTCAATAATGAACTTTGTAACTTTGAGATGAAGAACAGCAATAAAAGAGCTGTTCCTTTGATATTTGTGTGTTTTTTGCTGTACATGTACTGATTTGTCATGGATTGATACCCCATATCCTTTGTTTTTTCTATTTTACCTTATATTAGTCCTGCAGTTAACTTGTATTAACAAGGGTGCAGATGTTAAAATATCTGCTTAACAGATTATGACTGAATTTTATATTAAGGGCATATGACACAGAAGAGATCTGACTTTGTTTGTTTGATACATTTGCCATATTGAACAAACTTGAAAAAAAAAACCCAATAAGCCTTTACAAGTGAAGTGGATAAAAGTGATGAAATATCATTTGTACATAATGTTAGGTTTCTGAAGATGGACCTAAAAGCAAAGTAATTACATACAAACAGACAGAAAAATGTTTATCTTTGAAATAGTCACATTTGTAGTGGACATTCAGCAAACAAGTTTAACCCCACCACATTGTGTATGTGCCTGTCCCAAGTAATGAGCCTGTAATTCAGTGGTTGTCGTTAGTGCTGTATATATTTTTTTTTTTTCGTTTCTTTTTTTGTACATAAATAAGGCTGTTACTTTTCTCGTTTGAATTGTTTTACATTAGTAATTCCTAGGTCTTTTATAGCTTACTATGAGATAGGAGTTTTGCTCATTGTTGAAGGTTGTATGGTGACCTATAGTTGTTATCTACTTCTTCATTTGGTCTGGTCGAGAGTTGTCTCATTGGCATTTATACAACATCTTCTAATTTTTATATTCAACCATGTAACTGTCAGAGATAAAAATGTATAGGAAAGTCCAGACAGGCACACAAGGCAGACAGACATGTCAGTGTCATTCTCAATGCTGTAATATATTTACAGCTATGTTATGTTCAAATGGCGGAGTAGTTTGGAGGCAATAAAACAATATTTTTGAAAAATTTATGAGAGATGATGGTAATATTTAATACAGTCATGGCAAAGTGAGTAAATAAATGAATAAACATTAACGACCTATGCTGTAAAAGTATATAAAAATACAATAAACTATCACATTTCTCCTCCTTGTGTACAACATCTATATTGACAACTACAGTGCTAAAGTTTAATTGTTGCAGCATCATAACGATTGCAGATAAATGTCAATGTCATTTTTCACTTGGGTAAATATTTCTTCTTTACTCATTCCTTCTTTAATAAAATCTGAAATAGATATAATAATGTTTTCAGCAACAAAGTGACATAGTGCTATTATATACATTTTTAATGCATAATTTTAGAATGGGTATCAAAATTTGCTGTTTTGATCTGAAAAAAATTAATGAAAGTTAGTACACTTTGAGTCAAAAATCATTTTGAAAGCTTTATATTATGCTTACATCACTAGTTTCAAATGATTTTAACCAATATTTTGAGCCCAAAGTTAAAATGACAGATTGGACTATATGTAATTAATAGACTACTTAGATATAAGGGGAGAATACTCTAATGATACTAAGGGTTCGATAACATTTAAATCTGCTTTATCTCCCTTTGAATCAAGTTTGAAATAAAAACAACCTGGATTTATTATATAATTTCTATCATTGATCATTTATAAACTTGTAAAGGCACACAGTACAGCTGAATCATATCATTTTGATAGAAACAAGACTGATATATCATAATCATGATAAATTATTCTACAAAAGTTTATAGTTAACCAAACAAAGGATAAACAAGTTGGTCCAGACAAACAGACTGATTGCTACAGTTTGGGGATGTATAACTATATTAAACTCACTAATATCAACTCTTTCAGTTATTTCACCGTAATTCTGTATATGATGAGGCCAAACAACTTTGTCAAAATAACCTGGAACATCTGGAGGGTTATAATATCTTGTTCTGCAACAAGAAAAAATGTGTTTTCTCCCAAATACAGACTACTTGTGCTCGATTTTCATAAGAACATACACACAAAAGTATATGATGCAAGTGCAAAACTTAATCAGGGTGCAAGGAAGTGTGTCAACTGATTTTTACCGTAAAATTGGTCGTCCAATCCTTCCCTTAAATTACCCTTCATAGTAAAAAGTGGACCACTAGTACTGACAAGAACATTCATAATATAAAATGTTTGCGCCAATAGACTCAGTAATACCAGAAAAATATGTCATAATTTGTCAAATATTTTTACATATCATCTATAGCTACTGATGAACAGACCAGATCCCAAAAGTAAAACTTGATGTATAGAGCTTGAAAATTAGGCCACACCATATACAAGAGGGACATATACTCTTTAAAATAAATTTGCATTAACCTGAACACATGAATTTAAAATAGTGATCAAGACAATATGTTGACCTTCAGATATAAATCAGTTTTTTGCTTGAATTGATTTTTGGGTTGTAGTCACATTAATGTATACCCAACATCTCAGAATGATATATACTAGTTGCTGCAAAAAATCTAGTTACCAATATTGTTGACCTCAAATTCAGAGTTATACTATTACAGAATATTTAATCTGCTTGATAGATTAATATACGTGATCTGAAATCACTGATGGAAAGATTGGAAGAATTGTGTGTATAATTCTAATCATATTTAACTCTTCCATATAAGTGGTGGTGGACAAGAACAACTTGCTACAGCACTATTGCATTTTTGTTAGTTACATTACTGCAGATTTTTTAGAACGATAAGCAATTGTTCAGTGGATAAAATAGCTTAATAGAGGTCATTGTGGGTGGGTTGATATTTGCATAATTACTTCTTTTAAATAGCAACTTAAGCACCAGTCTTTGTAAGAATTAGGTTATTAAGAAGAATATCAAAACATGGCCATAAAAAACCCACCGACCTAACCATCTTATTTTGAAGTTACCCTCATCCTGACTTACAAATGGTAGTCTTTTCGTTTCTGCATGTCTAGTAATTAGAGAAAGTTCTAGATAATTTTTGGTTCGAATGATAGCAAATTACAGAGTTAGCTGCCCTTAACTGTTAATTTCTAATGCATTTCATCCAAATTATATTTTGATTTACCAGAACAGGAAAAGGAAACAAATGTTATATTCATGGACCATTATACATTTTGAACATAAATTAATGTAACTTGAGCAGGTTTTTATCTGTCATGTTTTCACCACTGCCTGATTCTTAGGCAGAGTGGCACTTAATATTTATATTTTTTGAAACAGAAGAAATTACTGAATAAAAATTATTATCATTGTAGTTTCTTAGTAAACCTGGGACAAATGGATAAAGAGACTTGAAACTAACTGCTTTTTATATTTCCCAAAATTTACCTGTAAACATGGTAAATGGTTGTTTTTTTTTCTTGGGGAGGGGGGGGGGTGTGCTATTTCTATGTTTAAACATGTATACTTATGTTCTCACTCCTAAGGATAGTCTTTGGCATATTGAATTTATTGATTTTGATCAATAATATATGATACTAAAGATGCATGGTTGAGGGGTGGCAAAAGGTAATTTGCACATTAATATACTTATATATAGTTTTTATTATAGTGTCCAAAGAAGAAGAATTTTAATTTTTGAGGCAAATTCTTTTAATATTTTAATTTTGGAAGGTTCACTAATTTTCAAAATCTTATTACATAATGGAAAGAAACAGGAATGTTCGGTGGATTTTTACTGAATTTGATTTCATGTTTACCAGAAGCAGGTTTTTCAAGAAGAAAAATTTAAGACATTTATCTTATTTTTGTAAAAATGAGGGTAAATATTTCATTGAAAAAATACATTTCCTGTACAAGAATATACATATACCTTCACATTTATGTATAAATGTATCAATTCCACATGAAGACAGAGACCACCTAATAACACTGACCTATATAGATCAAACATCTATCTGAAACTAATGAGGTCAACATTGTTTTTATTGGCTTGCCATGTTATGTATAAACTCGACAGTTATGTAATTTGGTCAATTATGATTGGCATTGAAGAGGAGGGGTCTATATAAAATTCCAATCATTGCCCCACCTTTGTCAATCATACTGATATTGTATTAATACTCTTACTTAATTAGAAAGACAAGACTAGCCAGTAATTTGAAAAAAGTAATGACTATTACTCTTGAATAAATGCCCTAAATTTTAAGATGTTAGCAAATGTTTTACAGTTCATTTGTGCATATGTACACAGACATGAGAACAATTGAGAACTATATGCCAGTGTGTTTAGATTTAGTTACTGATTTATTAGCTAATCTGTCTACTTTCTGTTTGGAAGTGCCTTAGGAAAGAATTGGATCAATAGTTCCAATCTTTCCAAAAATGAGATCAGTGTCTTCGGACAATGCTTTTAACGTCTATTTTTCATACAAATTTTGGTTAAACCTGGGGAATGGGGGATATCATAAAAGACTTATTTTCGAAGCTAGCATTGTATCTGCCAGCAATGTAAAATCTAATTCTATGCTTGGGGAAAAAGTACAATATTTTGTACAAAGCAATTCTTTTTTTACTTAAAACATTGCAATCCTGCTTTAACTACAAAATACTACTTACAATCTTCTTTGTCGACATGTTTCTTCTGATGTAACAAGAAAATATCTTTTATCAAACAATTCATTTAATGGCCTAAAATAAAAGAAATATATAAATAATAAACCTTATAATGACTACTGTGCTGGACAATATTATGTTTAACCATTTTCTAGTGATGAACAAAGATTTTTCAGCAGAAATGATCAAATGTTATTATATCAGCACAGATGTTGCAATTTCATATTAAATAACTATCAACAATTTGTACATTTTCCCATCGATTCTTTTTTTTTTTTCAAAAGTAATTATTGCATTTATTATGGTTGTTTTTTCATTATTCAAAGAATTCAGACACAAAAAAATTGTGTAAAGTTCGTAAACATAATATGAACAACCATATCTGGTACATATACTCCCTTTGATTCTACTAATATTTTTTTTAGATCACAGTCAGGACACGATACTCGAAAATATCAGGAAATGAAATATAACTTTGCAGCAATGTCACAATTTATCTGTGTCAATTTATCAATAAAATGCATGCATTGTCTTTCATACAACTGTAAGACTTATCTAAAATTATAAATATTTGAGAAAAAAAGATGAACTGTGCTTTAAGGTAGATTGTCTTAATTAAAATCCATAGAATTTTTTAATAATTTGTCAAAATGTAGTTTATGTCATGCTTTTTTCAAGAAATATAATAAAAAGTATGGATCACCAGGCTTTTTATCACGCTACAGGTTGTGCAAAATTGTCAGATTTTGTATAGATCATGCATGGAAAACCCAATTTTGTGTGATAAAAAGAAAACTACACCATAGAATTTGAAGATAAATAAATGTGGATAGTGTCCACATGTGGACACAGATGATGCCCCCGCTTGTATATCATATAGTTATAAAGGGACATAACTGAAGAACAGTAAAAGTGAGGCTACCCAAATTTGAACTTGATCTGAGTTTTGTGTGTAAGTCTCATAACATTTGGTTGAGGCTAACTTAAGTAGAGAACAGAAACTAAAAATTCAGCAATTTTTCTATTTATAAAGGGGCATAACTCAATAATGGTTAAAGTGACACTACCCAAATTCAAATTGATCTGTGTTTTATCAGTGGAAGTCAAAATTAAACATTGCATTGTATAAAGCATTCATTGTAGTTGATTCAACTTTAATCATGGACAAAGGAAGTTAACTCCAATTTTAAAAATAACTTGATATTTAGAAGAAAATAAAAATTTTGCAATTTTTTCCATTTATAAAGGGGCATAACTCTAGAACAGTTAAAGTGATGCCACCAAAATTCATACTTGATCTGTGTTTTGTGGTAATAAGCATTGTGTATAAGTTTCATAACATTTGATTGAGGCAAACTTAAGTTAAAGGATGGAAACTAAAAATTTTGCAATTTTCCATTTATAAAGGGGCATAACTCTAGAACAGTTAAAGTGACGCCACCAAAATTCAAACTTGATCTGTGTTTTGTGGTAATAAGCATTGTGTATAAGTTTCATAACATTTAGTTGAGGCAAACTCAAGTTAGAGAACGGAAACCAATTTTGGGACGTACGGACGGACGTACAGACGGACAAGGGTAAAACTTAATGCCCCCACCGCTACGGCGGGGGCATAAATATGAGAAGATAGCTCTAATAATATTCTTTCAGATAAGAAAAAGAAATCAAAGCCTTAAAGGCTGTAAAAGCAATTGCTGCCATGTTAATGTTTTGGGGACTTTTTCATCCACATATATATAAGAATTAAACCTGACAGGAGTGTTGTCTAGTGAGAAGTAAGAAGGTTTTAACTTTATATCAATAAAAGACTTTAGCAGAAAGTCATTTTTGATATGTTTTATATTTCACAAGGAGACAACACGTTTACCAGGCGAAAATTGGGGTCAAATTTACATGTGCTGAAACATATAACTCAAAAAGAAATTATCCCCTGGTAGTGTTTGTAACTGGACAATAATTTCCTTTATTGATTTAATTTTAACAATTATCATAATTAATTTAAATTTAACCATTCAATTAAAACATTTCAACTTTCCAGACGCAAATGTTGAAAAACGCGAAAGAAATAAAATATCTTACAAGAGATAAACATGTAAAAAATAAATATATATTTCAGCTTACTAAAAATATTTTCATAATGTTACTTTGTCTTCATTTCTTAAAACTAAGTCCCAAGCATTATTGCTCAGTTGATATGTGTCATCCTCATGCGGTACGAGATAACTATAATTCTCATGCAATCCCGAAAAGGGGGTCATCACAGACAAACATGACATTAAATCGTCATTATACGAACAAGAACAAACAGCTCTTCGTTGCTTTGATATTTATCAATTTTCAGGAAACATTGCGAAAAATTATCTTCAATATTTCGAAAACATGTGAAATAAAATTGCAAACACGGTGGACAGTCGAGTGTCAACACACGTAGTAGACTCGTCCACTGGAAAGAAGAGGATAATGGTTTCATCATTTGTCATGCATACCCAGTTTTGATTATGATATCCAAAAGGACGTACTTTTTTTCAATCTATGAAACTAGAAAATTCCAAATTGTTCTGGACTTGGCATCTATCACGTTTTGACGGGTCCATTTCATTAGTAAGGTGATCGATAAATCTTACGGAGTTATGACAAAAAAGGAAAACGAACTTATTGTTATGTGTTTTTAACAAGGGTGTCGTTCCACTAAATTTTGCGCAAACAAATCAACAAAATAGGTCAGTTAAGTTTGTCTATTTTTAGATTACAGGTAATCATTTGACACTACGTATAACCTGTGTAGTGATTTTGATTTTACGATAAATTTATGAATGAACTATAATTTTATGAATGAACAAGAGCACCTGGCCTCTTTCTTAGAGAAACACCAATTAAACATATAAAACCATTTTAATAAGAGATAATTCAGTAAAATTTTCAATACTAAATCAACAACTGAAATGATTCGATATTTTGTTGAAACATCGTACGAAAGGAGAACGGAATCGCAGGTATAAAAATGCACTTTTTTTCACTCGACCTTCTATGTTTTTTGATAGTCAAACGGTTGTCCCCCTAAATACAAAAATACATCTACAAGAACATATGCTGAAACCTCTTAAATCCACTAACGTTTTTCAAAAGTTTCAAGCTATGTATTGCATTAGAAAACATGCATAGGTGTTTAAGAATGACAGATCAGGAGCCTGTTTAACAAAATACTATGGCTTGAAATGGGCGGAGTCTCTGATTTGCGTCACAAAGATGGCCATACGCGATGGCATAAAAGCAATTGCTTTAAAAATGGGGTCACCGGACTCGTTTTTTTGCTACATAATAAAATAGGTAAATTCACAACACATTCTATTATAAAAGTTACTTTATCTGAGTTATGTCCCCTTATATCTGAGTTATCTACCCTTATGTGGAAAAGTGGGAAAAAGTAATTCAAACAAAAATATTCTGTTTTTTGTAAAATACAGCCCTAAATATGATAAAACACATAATTTTCTAAATCAACATGACAAGTCTTACACATGAATTACAAACTACTCTTGAAATTTGCACATTTCATTCAAGATCTAGACCGATTGCAATCTGCTATTTCAAAATCCAAGATGGAGGAAGACATCCCAGCTACCTTAACAGCAATGTAGACAGTTTATCAATCTTAACTTCATCAAATAATAAAGATAAAAAAAATTTTAACTTCATCAAATATATTTACCCATAATTAAATATAGTGAAACCTTCTACCAGTAATATAGATGTTTTATCTTGAACTTCTTTCATCCATTTTTCTTTCCATTTTTTTACATCTTTGACCATAGAATCCATGTCTAATGAAGAAAACACTGAAATAAAAAAAACATGCATTCAATTTCTTTTATAATTAGTTATGTCAGTGGTTACTTTTACCTGGTACATATGAGTACTTTACCCTTAAGTTAAGAAATGGTTTGGGGTTTGTTTTATGTAAAAGATTTTGAGATGACTATTCCCAAAAGCAGTACTATCCAGAATGTTTTAAAGGACTTTAAAAGCAGAATATTTTGAGGTAGATTTATACTGAAGTTAAACCAAAGGAAAATAAAATAAAATCCAATTTAAGCTGCTAACATATTATTTACAAGGATGCCATGTAAAGTTTTTCTTTGCTTTCAAGATAGAGAAGTATTAGTAAAACTTCAACATCTTTGGTTAGTTCATACACTGTGAAAGGGAACTTTACATGGATTTTTGTGTCATTTGATTGCTGTCACATTGTTGCATACCCCCCCCCCCCCCCCTGTCTCCTCTTATTCATATTATCTAAATATCAGTGTAAGCTTTCAACTGTGGTATCAATTATTATGAATACAGATTACTTACCTTCCCAATTATGGTGTTGGACTTCTGGTACCCAAGTTAAACGTTCATCACCAGGAGGCTAAAAAACAAAGAAACTGACCATCTTGAATGTTTCACCATGGGAAAACAATTTCAATAAAACATTACAGATTTAAAATTTTGTTTTGTTGTCCTTTTGGTCCCCTAAATCATTAAATTCTTATATATCATGTCGCTATCTGTTAATGATTCTTCGACAGTACATTTATTTTTTTAGTTAGTTTTTCCTGCAATTCACATGCATACCCATTTTCATTCTCAATTTTATTAATAATTGTCATTCTCTCTGGACCATAATGCAAAGTATTTTTTATAAAATTATTGTGTCTGACTGAGAAAGCCATGCCTAAGAGAAATACCAACCCAACAGTCTATCTGTTTCTCTTAAAATATCCCTCAGACTCCATCTATAGAATTTACTTACAGGTAAATGTTTAACAAGGGGAACTGCGAGCTTTTACTCACAAATGATACCCCTGTTATAAATTAATAAGTATTCCATGAACATCAGTTGATGAGCAATGGATGTGAAAACTCATCACAAGGTAAACATGCAAACACGAAGCATTGATTCAAAGTTTCAGAAAGTTCTAAATTGTAGTTCCTGGGATAAGTATGACAAAAATTTCATGGGATAGATGGACTGACAGATGTAAACCAGTATTCCAACCATCCTTCATGGATATAATAAATATATGTTATATTCTCAGGGTACATGTCACATAGGCATTAATATTATGATTCTTACATGGAAATAGCTGTCTTGACATATATGAGATGAACCTGGCAGTGATTTCTGTAAACAGGATGTTAATGAAGTTTTTCCACTGTTAGATGGTCTGAAACATACCACAAAATGAATATCAGATTTCAAACGAAAAATGAATTTCACCTTAAAGGGATACTCATAACGAAAATGTTTAAAAATAGCAATACAAAGTTATAGAGTATTTAAATAAATTTAATAAAATCTGCAAGTATACAATAAGTATATATCATGAATACTGTTACACTATTATTCCACAATTTGCTTAATTATCTGAAAACTCAATAATGATTAGCTGAATGCAGCCCATTTTACATGAATATAAAAAAAATAATACCCAAACAGATGATTAAAAGACTTTTGATTTTACTGTGTCTATATTGGGCATGCATTTTTTTGAATATATATAATCAAAGCATCTTCGGTGCTGCAATTCAGCCATTTTTTAGCTATGGCAGGTAGATAGACATTTTTTCTGATCTCTTTTTTAATAAAAAGAAAGAAAAAAAACCAAGGGACAATCTAATATCATAAAAAAAAACACAAGGATTGAATGTAGCACTTCATCATTTTCATTATTATTTCACTAAAAAATTACCAGTGTTATTTTTCTTTTTTTAAACAAAGGTATGCAATTTTTCTACCTGATCTTATGATTATTTATTGATTTTTAATAAAATTTATGACACTGAAGATAAATGGTTTTATATTTCTATAATCTTACTCAAAAAATTGTTTTCAATTGCCCAAAGATCATACAAATTGTTTTGTTATTTCAATTTTTAGAAGGTATTCTGACTTCTAATATCTTCTTTTTATTCAATCAAAATAATGTTTGCATGATTGGAAATAGAAATCTTCAAAGAAAGGTGTAGTATATTTTTATTGAAGATTGACTTAATAATTTCAGAAAAGAGGCATTGAAAATGCACTTTGTCAACAACACAAACTGTTATAACAGAGATATGTCTTGCCTATTTGTTATTTTGATAATGCAAATGTTGAAATTAAAATAGCAATACTTTAACATGTAAGTTATGCAAATATTCAAAGTCAATGAACCATGACTGAAGGTACAGGGCTAAACAATCTCCATGGAAATGAGATGTGCCAATGCTAATACAACTGCATACCAAATACCATTGACTTTTCATAAGTCGTTCCCATTAAACAAACATTAACTTGTAAACTATGTAAAAGTCAATGAACCATAATTAGGGGGTGGGGTTATATAATCTCCATGGAAATGAAACTTGCAAATGCCATTACATTTGCATACAAAATATCATTGACTTAACATTAGTGGTTCATCTTAAACGGACCTAATCACAAACTAATACATATGTAAACTAAGCAAAAGTTTCAAAGTCAATAGACCATGACTGAGGGGGTGGGGCCAAATATTCTCCATGGAAATAAGATGTGCTAATGCTTATACAACTGCATACCAATTAACATTGGCCTACCACTAACGGCCACCCTTAAACTGACCTAATCACAAACTAATACATGAAAACTAAGCAAAAGTTTCAAAGTCAATAAACCATGACTGAGGAGGCGGGCCTAATAATCTCCATGGAAATGAGATATGCCAATGCTTATACAACTGCATACCAAATATCATTGATCTACCACTAGTGGTTCCCCATAAACTGACCTAATCACAAACTAATACATGTAAACTAAGCAAAGTTTAGAAGTCAATAGACCATGACTGAGGGGGCAGGGCCAAATAATCTGCATGGTAATGAGATGTGCCAATGCTAATACAACTGCATACCAAATATCATTGACCTACCACTAGTGGTTCACCATAAACTAGACCTAATCACAAACTAATATATTGTTGATGCCGCCGACGCCTGAAACAGCATACCTTTTGTTTGCTTTTTGACTCTGTCAAGGCGAGACAAAAAATTAAATAACTAATTTTTATTTAAATTGGTGTTCATTCTTCATTGAGAAAATAATTTCCTGTATTCAAATATACATGTGCATATACCTTACATTGTTTAATAGCAATATAATGCATGGAGAATAACCAAATAAATTTTATTGCAGAAAATCTCCGGGTTAGAGTTTTGCAATTTTGTTTATTGTTTCAAGCTAATTAGTGATAATTGTAACTTAAAATAACCTAAATTATTGACTAATATCAGATGATCATAACACTGATTTTACAAGTAAAATAGACCCTGCTTGCATTTTTTCATACATATTTTGTTTTTTGATTTTCTTTGCAAAAAATGCATCTTTTTTATCATTAATGATTCATCTCTGACAGATAATTTACTGAATAATTTTATGTCGTGTAGATCAAAAGTGGTTATAGGTGTACTATTGAGGTCAATATTATACACCTTCGCCTCGAGCAATGGTTGGTATCTCAGGGACAACAAAATTGCTATTACCCTTATAACCAGTCATTAAGCGTTTTATTATACCGAGTAAAACAACTTTCTAAAAAGGTCTACATACACCACCTGGAGAAAAAAAAAACAAAATAGTCACACAAACAGTCAGCAGATGAACCATCAGGTTTTTTTGTCCGTGTGGTATTTGTGAATATTTTATTCACTGTAATCAAGACCAGGAATCCTTATGTAAAAATTCCCGTGCATGAAATAAACGCTTGCTAAAATATATTACCGTACACCAAAGTAATCACAGATTGTGAAGAGGACGACAGACCCATACCATACATTTGTTATGTTTTAGTTCTTCAAATATGTAACGTAGATTTCTTTTTCTTTTTAACTGCTCTGGTAAGTAAAATAATAATTTGAGATTACGACGACAGACACATACAGATTATACTGTTTACGATATTTCAGAGCTTAATGTGCCAAGTGCACAAATCAAAGCAAAATAGTCAATGACATCATTGTTGTCCAATGAAAAATTAGTAAGAAAAAGTCCGGGAAATATGTTGATAAAACTATTGACCAGAGTAATAGTCTTTGAAACTATTGACTGGCAAATAGTCTGTGGAATGAAATAGCACAAATATTTTATTCTTTTCTATAAAGAAAAAACATACTGAGGTATAATAATATTGTGTATTCAATTATGTAATACAAGAGATATCAACTGTGGCATTAGGGTGGAGGGGATTCCAATTAAGACCTTTGAGTGAAATTATTTGTAAACAATGACAGTTGTCAATCTTATTTGCCTAAGAAAAGAATTGGAATAATAGTATTTTAAAAAAGTGTGGGAATCAACTTTGATATCAATACACATCTTGTACCACATGTTATTCAATTACTTACACAAGTCTTTGATCCTGATAAAATACTTTCATAATTCTCATCAACTACTCAAATTTGATATATTACTTTTTCTCATTACTTAATAAATAGTAATCTATTAAAAATTTTGATTTACAAAGGAACTACATGCAAGTGTATAACTAAAATAAAGGAGCTATTTGACCAATCTTCTCTTCATTTAAGGGCAAATAACATGTCAAAAGTTGGCAATAGTTAATTAAAATGGTGTATAAAGTTTCTGCAAGTCATAAAAACACATAAGTAGTTTCATCTTCTGACATCAGACTCGGACTTCTCTTGAACTGAATTTTAATGTGCGTATTGTTATGCGTTTACTTTTCTACATTGGCTAGAGGTATAGGGGGAGGGTTGAGATCTCATAAACATGTTTAACCCCGCCGCATTTTTGCGCCTGTCCCAAGTCAGGAGCCTCTAGCCTTTGTCAGTCTTGTATTATTTTTAATTTTAGTTTCTTGTGTACAATTTGGAGTTTAGTATGGCGTTCATTATCACTGAACTAGTATATATATTTGTTTAGGGGCCAGCTGAAGGACGCCTCCGGGTGCGGGAATTTCTCGCTGCATTGAAAACCTGTTGGTGACCTTCTGCTGTTGTCTGTTCTATGGTCGGGTTGTTGTCTCTTTGACACATTCCCCATTTCCATTCTCAATTTTATCATGATATGCCTTCAACTTCTAATTCTGCACCAGCTCCAAATCCAGAGTGATCACATAGATCCAGCATGGCTGAATCAATAAAATGCTTCGCTGAGCGCAGCCTGATACGACCGCATTGGTCGAACCCTGAACAGTTGGGGCAAATTTGGACACAATATTCAAGCTTGATACTATCTGAATTTGGATTCTGATCAAATTTTTTACATAATATAGGTTTCTGACACAAAATAAATGTGGTCAAAGATCTTACAAATCTAATGCGCAATACTGTGCAATTGAAGATTTCTTCTTGAAACTTTTCAAAAATTTGAAATTTTGAAAATTTTGAAAAAAAAATATGAACCCTTTTAAAAAAAATTGGAAACCCCCCTTCCCTCCAAACTTTTTGAATCCCCCTTTTAGCATTAACCATCAAACTCAATTGCAGTCTTTCCTTTGTAGTATGGAACCTTGTAGTACAATTTTAGAGAGATCCATACACTTAATCACAAGTTACTGTCTGGAAACTAGAAAAATGCTTTTTTTTAACCATAAAAGCCCATTTAAATACATCATAAAAGTATTAACATAGAAAATGACATCATAGTCATAGCTAAATTTTAAAAACCTTCATCAGCAACTTTTAATAGTAATATCTAAAAATAAAATTCCTTCATCAGCATTTAAATGTAACTTCTAAAAATAAATTGACAGCTAGGACTTTGCAACCATAAAAACCCATTTAAATACATCATAATCATGCCTAAAATTAAAACACTTTCATCAGAAACATTAAAAAGTAATATCTAAAAATAAAATTCCTTCACATACATAATCATGGCTAAAATAAAATAATTTTTAAAATAGAAAATGACATCATAGTCACGGCTAAAATTAATAAATGTGGATAGTGTCCACATGTGGACACAGATGATACCCCCGCTTGCATATCATGTAGTTATAAAGGGACATAACTAAAGAACGGTAAAAGTGACACTACCCAAATTTGAACTTGATCTGAGTTTTGTGGTAATAAGCATTGTGTGTAAGTCTCATAACATTTAGTTGAGGCTAACTTAAGTAGAGAACAGAAACTAAAAATTCAGCAATTTTTTCTATTTGTAAACACGCATAACTCTAGAATG